GTATGTGCACATGAGTCCAGGTGGCTGATGAGTCCAGAGCAGGGCAGGCATTGGATCTCCTGGAGCTGGAGTTCCAGACAGTTGTGAGTTGCCCATTGTGGGCACTGGGAACGGAACCCAGGTCATCCAGAAGAGCGCTGCAAAGCCGTTTCTCTGGCTCTTTCTTTGAGACATAGACTCAAGTAGCCCAGGCTGTCATTGAACTCTGTGTAGCCAAGGATGACCTTGAACCTGAGCCTCCTGCCTCCACATCCCAAGTACTGGGATTACAGGTATGCACCACCATGTCCAGCCACTGTCCCCTTTTGTTAATGGAAGCACCAAAGGCCAACCACATTAACACATCCAAACCAAACAGCCAGGCCCTGAGGTCCCCCGGCAAGACCTGTCAGTGAATGTCAGCAAGATGGGCCTGGATCTTCTTGCACAGCCCACCCAACACAGGAAACTCACTCCTTAAGTGCTGCCCCAGGGGTGGGGTCAAGGCATCCATGCTCCCTACGGACACTCTCAGCTCCATCTCCTGGGGGTCACTGCCCTTTGTGGGTGGAATCGCATGTGACTCCAGGACTTGGTAGATCCAACGACCAACCAGTGGTGCCTCTCAAAAGAAGGTTCTCAGCAGACTCCAGGCCACAAGGCCCCTCTAGAAGCCCCTGAGACAGCAGACCCTGTGTTGAGATGGGGTTTGCTGTTATCTAAGGCATCCTTGTGTCTTAGTGTAAAGCACCTTTCAGTTGGGCATGGTGGCACACACCTGTAATCCCTGCTTGGTCTACATAGCAAATTCCAGGCCAGCCAGGCCTATATATCAAGACCCTATCCACACAACTAGCCAAGACAGAAAGGATTAAAAGAAGGAAAGACAAGACAAATGGGCAGGTGGGAGGAAGGGAGGGAGGGAGGGAGGAAGAACAAGACAAAAAAAAGAAGAAAGAGAGAGAGAGGGAGGGAGGGAGGGGGAGAGAGGGAGGAAGGAAGGAATGAAGGCATTTTCTTCCCAGAAACCTGGTCCACCCAGCCCAATATGGGATGTAGGATGCAGTATGCAATCCTGTGGATTGAGAGATGATCCAGTTCAGGTCCCTCTGGCCAGGTCCCTCTGGCCAGGTCACGACCAGGACGGAGAGCTCCTGCTGCTGGGCCATTGCAAAGCAAGGGAGCAGTGCCATTCTGACAGCTAAAGCCAGTCTGTGACAGCTCCATGACAGGACAAGTCATGCAGCAAACATCTGTCAACAGGAGCCAGGGGACAGAGCTGGTCTGCTCTAACCGCTTCAGAACAGCCCTTCCATCTGCAGGCTCCGGGGCCCTCCCACCCCAGCCTCTCTATGGGTACCTGTGCCCTGCCCAGGCAGCAAGAAAACACTCGTGTCCCTTCTGCAGGTCTTGAGTGGGAATTTAGAGCCTCGAACTCATGGTTTCTTCCTATAAGCTCTCCTACCCCAGTTTTTATCTCACTAAAATATTCTGCCCCACCAATTACTTGGCCATCCCAGGACTCCGTGCTTGAATGGGGTATGCATAGTAACCAGTGAGGTCACTGATTGAGCCCTTGCAGGCTGTGGGAAATGCATGTCCTCTTTATCACTAAAATCCAGTCACAAATGCCTTTCAATCAAGAAGAAAAACCAATCCCAGATAATTCCAAAGCAAGCCAGAAAACCTTCCTTCGGGTTCTGTTCCTCCGGAACTACAGCTAGGAACACATTCTATGGCGTCCCGGGACTGGGCTGAGGCAGGATACCACACGGCAGCGATACACCGATCCTGGGATCTGGCTGGCTTCACATGGTGTGGGAGGGAGGCTGTTTTCCTTGTGCCTGAAGCTACTGCATCAGGGAATTAGCAGGGCAGAGAGTCAAGAAGGGAGGAGGATGCAGTGGATGAAGAGGTCCGATTGGAAACCAGGAGGGTGAGGGTGAGAGGTGCCCACAGAGTAGGCTGGAACCATGTGAGCCTCAGAGTCCTCAGCTCAGCTTGCTGTTGTTCCAGCCTGCAGAAAACCTCCTCCTCCTCCTCCTCCTCCTCCTCCTCCTCCTCCTCCTCCTCCTCCTCCTCCTCCTCCTCCTCCTCCTCCTCCCTCTCTCACTGAGTTAAAAACACACCTGGGCCAGTGCAGAAGGAGAGACCCGGCAGATTCCCACCTGCCAGGCGAGAGCGAATTTGACTTCGTGCTAGGCTCAGACCTTCTAGGTGCAAAGTGAGAATGTCTGTGACGTCCCTTCTGCTTTCTAGACAAACTACACAGAACACCCCCTTCTCTTGCAAACCCAGGGCTCTGCATGGAAAGGAGCCCTGGGAAGCACAGCTTAGGTTCAGCTTACCACAGTCACCCTGGCAGAGACATGAGTCTTCCTCCAGACTTGTTGCAAGACCTGGCCCTCCCTCCCAGCTTCTGAGGCAAGCGGATACCATCTGCTCCAGCTTGAACATCAGGCAGCTGGCTGCTTCCTTCCTACCTGCCTTCCTCGGAACCTGTGTGGCCTCAGGCAAAGCACTCCGCCACCCTAAGCTTCTGGTGGCACTCTCGCTGTGGGGTGAGAACATCTGCCTAACATGTGGGTGCTCGGGGCTGGGCAGCCTCCTGCATGTACAATGCGGAGCTCAATGCACCTGCTACCACACTAGCTTGCTCAGCTTTCTTCTCCCTGCTCACTCACCACTAGGCTTCCCTTTTGTCTCCTGTTCAGTCTGGAGACAGCTATGAGCATGTACACGCACACACGTGCACGCACGCACGCACGCACGCACACACGCACTGACATCCATGTGTTCATATATTTGGCCCGTGTTGCTGCCCCATTTGAGCCCAAAGCACAATTTCAGATGCTGGCATGGATCCTGTGGTCACCGGGGCCTGCTGAGTGTGAATTCACGTTCTCCACTGACTTTTACACACGGAGCATTTCCATATCTCTTAAAGGGCAGCCATGAAATCTCAAGGAAGATGACTTATCTGATGGTGTTTCTGCTCAGGAGTGGGCAGACCAAACACGAAGAGGTTTCTTCACAGGTTTGGGGGTTCACTCAGCTCTCTGTTTCCTCAGATCTGTTTGTTTTTTTTTTTTTTAAGCTGAGGATCAAACCCAGGGCCTTGTGCTTGCTAGGCAAGCGCTCTACCACTAAGCTAAATCCCCAGTCCCCTCAGATCTGTTCAGAGCCCTGCAGGCGGACCCAAGGTGGCAATGACCATGTGCCGCTCCACAGAGTCAGGATGAATCCTAGAGCCCTGCCAGACTAACCACCCAGGGGAGAATTCAAAGGGGCATTTAGAACAGAGAAAAAAAGGGGCTAGCTTTTGCTTTGAGTGCAGGGCATCTCTTGGGAACCCCCTAGTGTGGTAGTCACTGAATTCTACTCTATTCTGTTCCTCCTTCATTGGGAGTGTGTGATGATGGGCAAAGTGAAGGCTTAGCTTATCCTCAGATCTGACCTGGGATCAGTCTCCCAGCCTCTCCTGGCCCCAGTAGATAAATAGAGGTTCCTCGTGGTCCCATCCAGCCCAAAAGCCTCCATGTTGTGTTGCTGTTTTTCTAACCTCACAGCATTCCTGGCCTGGCTAAGCATCTTTGGATAATGGGACTCAGAGCTAGGAGGCCCAGAAAGAAGGATCTGACCATCTGACCATCTGCCCTTCTATAGAACTTACCAGCAACATGACACCCAGCCTGCCACCTGACCCTGACAGGAGAAGCAGGGTCCAGGTCTCTTCATGCCATCGAAACAGACACAAACCCACTCAAGGCTGTGCTTGGGAAATGGTTCTGATTTTGAAAAAAAAAAAAAATTAATGTGTGTAGGTATACGTGTTGGTGTGTGTGTGTGTGTGTGTGTGTGTGTGTGTGTGTGTACTTCAATTGTCAATCTCCGTGGCTGGCTATTGAGCTAGGAATCTGCCTGTCTCACCTCCACACTACTGAGATTACAAGCACACACCACCATGCCCAGCTTTTTTTTTTTTTTTTTAAATGAGTCCTGGTGATCCAATCCAGGTCTTCATGCTTGCTCAAAGCAGACTCTTTACCAACTGCACCATCTCTCCCTAGCCTCCCCCTCCCCGATTTTCATGTGTGAAATCAGCATGTGAGACCCACTCTGGTATTGTTTAAATATAGTCACTAGCGTATGCCAAAATGTGTGAATTTGGGGTGATCTCATATAATTAACTTTATTTAGAAAATGTTCGAACACTGGAGTTCTCTAAATAGAGACCTCATGTGTCCTGCACATTTTGGAGATGTGAGTGAAGGAGCCTGGGCCCTTCCTTGGGAAGAACCCTCTTGTCATATTAGCATGAGAAAGCGCCATCTTTTACAAGGTGATAGATGAGTTGGGATTTTCAACGCCCCTGGTAAAAACTAGGTAGTCACTCCGCCACTAACCTTACTTCCAGCCCCCTTGAATCTTATTTAAACCATTTCTCCCCACTCAGTGACACCTCAGAACTCCTGCATCCCTGGATCTGCACCAGGTGAGCATTGGAGTCTCATTTTAATTAATTAATTGGTTCTCTATGAGACACAGTCTCTTGTAGTCTAGGCTAAACTCAAAACTCACTCGCTATGGAGCAGAGGCTAGCCTTGAACTTCTGACTCTCCTGCCTCCTCCACCTCCCAGGTGCTGGGATTGGGGGTGTGCACCCGTATGCTCCTAGAAGGAGTCTCATTTTATATTTTGAGGAAAATCAGAGAGATTTAGACTACCCAGAGGTTCGAGACCACACAGCCGCGGAAGCCAGGACTGGGAGCCGGATGCTGCCCTCTCTAGCCAGGGGCCCAAGGTGGCGCAGGACTGTGTCTCATCTTCCTCTAGAAGAAGCATGAGCCCCAGGTCTGGCTTGAAGGATGCCAAGGTTTAAGAAAATGAACTCAGACAAAACTCAAAAGGCATCTAAGATTTGTTTCCACTTTCATCCCTGAGGGGATGCAGGTGTCTCAGGCGTTAGAAAGGTTTAGGCAATCCTACCCCAGCCCCATCAGAGGAAATGCTGGGTGGTGTTTACTAGCCTTGAGAATGGGTTTTATTTAATATCTACATAACAGATTTATAGAGTTAATTTGGCTTCTACTCGAGTAAAAGGTCTCTGGAGGGTGGTAATGACAATTCAGTTCCAAAAATTGAAAGAAAAGTCAACATGGCGCTGGCCTGGAGCTGGGGGAGCTTCCGGGCCCAGATCCAACTTCACAAGTGCAGACTCAGCCATCCTGGGAGTTTGCCAAGCATGGATCAGAATTCCCTCTCTGGGACTCTGGAAAACCAAGTGTAGTCCTGGGGTTCTGTCCAGCCCAATGGAGCACAGAGGAAGACAGATCCAGGACCTTGGGGGCGTGCATCAGGGATACAGCAGAGGGGGGCCTCGACTGTGAGGGGCACCCCTGGAGCAGAGCCCACCCAGGGCATTAGCAGAGGAAGTTGGGGTAATACTGGTAAAGAGGATTGTAGCTCCAGAGGTTTCTCCGCAGGCAGTAGACCAGCTTCCGGTCACAGTCACAAAGCTTCCCGGGACAGTAGGACGTGTATTCTACAAAAGGGATGTCAAGGGCAGAATGAGCCTGGGAAAATTGTGCTCCCCCAACACTGACTTGCTCAAAGTCACATCAGGAGGTGGCTTTTAGTCTGCACAGACCCCCATCTGTGTCCTGCTCTGAGGGATCTCACAGTGTGGGGAGGAGGAATCTGCACCGGGGTGATACTTAAACTGATGGGAGAGCTTCAGTTCCTGAACTAGGGAGATGTGTAATCTGATGGAGGAGGCTCGGCTGCTGAGCTAGAGGCCAAGATCTTGATCAGGATGAGGTTTCCATTCAGGGAGTCCCCCATCTGGTGGAACAGACACATCCCCTTTGGGTGGAGAGCCTAGCTTAAAGGTGGAGACAGTTTCTGTGGGAGGCATTCAATACAGATGCACCTGAGGCCTGGCTTTGAACTCAGGGGCCTGGACATGAGTCCCGCTGCACACTGGCAAAGCGTTGAGCTTCCGTTACACATGTGAAATAAGGAGATGAAACCTCTACTCAGGGAGAGGACATCTGCTAGTCCACAGTACCTAGTGAATAGGGGGTCTAAACTGGGCCCACCCTTCCCTGGAAACCCAAAAAGGCTGCCAACAGTCCCATGCCCCTCACCCTCACACTGCCTCACAAGACACAGGCCAGCCCATCTCTTAGGCAGCATAACTCCCAGCCTGGATGGGAGGTCACCCTTACCGCAGACGACCAGCCCCTGTATGAATCTGTAGTCATAGGATTGGGTCCAGATGCTGCAGCCATTCTCCTCCAGTTCCCCGTAACAGCGGTCATGCATCCGACAGCACCTGTCAAAAGGAGAGATGGGGGTGCTGAGCGGAGAGGCACCCCCCTGACCTCCTGACCTCCTGACCTCCGGACCTGGGAGAGTTCAAGCCAAATGTAAACAGAATTAGAGCCAGAGGGGTGTGTGTGTGTGTGTGTGTGTGTGTGTGTGTGTGTGTGTGTGTGTGTGTGTGTGTGTTTGGGGGGAGCATGATGACACTGTGCTTGGCTGTTTAAGCTAAGTTCTCTCTGAAGGACTTTCTAACCCTCTCCCCCACCACCACCTACGAGAGGTTCTCTCTTTGTCCTGCATGCACCCCAAACTTTATGCAGCTTGCTGGAGAGGACAGATGCCTGAGACAAAGTTTGACTTTCTAAGACCGTGGCAGTTCAGCCAAGATGCTCTACATCAAAGGCCGGCCCAGTAACAGCACCTCCACCAATGAGCCGATGCCAACTCCTGCCTCTGGTCTCCACAACCAATGAGCTTGGTATCTGAGCAGCTTATGTAAAAGTGCTGGCTCTTGGGCTAATTAAAACTTCCCCTTACCTCACCCTCCTTGAATAGGACCGTGGTTTCTAGGGTAGCATGCATATTCTCACTGCAGTGCACCACTGTTCCAAATCAATGGCCATTCTTTGAAGATTCTCTCTGCATGTTATTTAGGCTAACGTCCCTAGCAGGTGGGCAACTGTAATCACGTCCCTCTGGCAGAAGCTGTGGCAGTGGATGTGAGCTGGCAGGGAGAGTGTCTGGTAAGCTAGTCCCAGTCACCCACTAGAACTGTCACTGGTCAGAAGTTCAGTGACCTGTTTTTGACTCCTAATAGCTAGATGGAGCGTAGGTGTGATAATGTGAATGAAAATGCTCCCCCCATAGGCTCACTGGAGCTAGCACTATTAGGAGGTGTGTTCTTGCTGGAGTAGGCATGGCTTGTTGGAGGAAGTGTGTCACTGGGGGTGGCCTTTGAGGTTTCAGATGCTCAAGTCAGCCCAGTGTTGCTCCCTGCAGATCCAGATGTAGAACTCTCAGCTACCTCTCCAGCACTGACTCTGCCTGCATGCTGCCATGCTTCCTGTCATGACGATAATGGACTGAACCTCTGAACTGTAAGCCCAAATATTTCCTTTAGAAGAGTTGCCGTGGTTAAAGTGTCTCTTCGCAGCAACAAAACCCTAACTATGACACAGAAGTTGGTACCAGGGACTGTGGTTTGCTGTGACAGGCTGAACCATGCTTTTGTCTGGAGGAACGTGGAACACTTTGGGACTTTGGACTAGAAAAGCGACAGAACACTTTAAGCGGGGCTTAATGGGCCATCCTAAGTAGGAGAATGGAAGACAGTGGTAGTGAGGGTGATTTGAACTGTGGGAGCCTGGCTTAAGAGGCTTCAGAGGAGAGGAATATCAATATGTGGCCTAGAGACTGTTCTTGTGATACTTTGGCAAAGAATGTGGCCGATTTCTGCCCTTGTCAAAAAAAAAAAAAAAAAAAAAATCTCCCTGAAGCTAAATTGAACAGCTATGGATTAACAGCTTTGGCAGAGGCCTTTTAAAAAACCTAGTATTGACTGTGTGGCTTGGTTATTAGTGGCCAGTCTTATGAAGATCTAGAATGAAAAGGAGCAAGCTGAGTAAGGAAAAAAAAAGCACAGTTTAAGGAGAAAAGGAGCACCTGGAAGTATAATGGAGCTAAGTCCCGTGTTCAAGGAGATAAAAAGATTGAAGAAAAGCCTGATGCCAAATGGAATAAAGGGAGTGGTGACCTCAGGGCGAGACCCCACCCTGCTAAGCTTCCAACTTGTGAGAAGGAATTTAAAAAAAAAAAAAAAAGGTTTAGGGCTGGGCATGGTGGCACACACCTTTAATTCCAGCCCTGGGGAGGAAGAGGTAGGTGGACTTCAGAGTTCAAGGCCAGCCTAGTCTACAGATCCAGTTACAGGACAGCCAAGCTTAAGCAGCAAAGGAGGCCATCAAAAACCGAAAACTGGTGGAAATGTATTTGAACAAGGGGGCCATGTTCCAGCCCCAGCAAGCAGCAGAACTTGGCAGCTTCAGCCTTGTGGTTCTGTCTTTAAAGTTAAGGATACAAGAAATGGGCTATGCATTCTCCCTCCACGACTAAGGAAAGCTGCTGAGGCCAGGCATGTGTCAGGGGTGTCCCTGCATGGAGGCCTCCTAGAGGGGCCATTGCACGAAGATGTAAAGGCGAAGCCAGGATTGCCTTGGAGAATCTAAGATGTTGGAGATGCTGGAGCTGTGGGACACCTGTCAAGGAGAGCTGCTAACAGGGAGTGGAGCCAGCCCAAAAGAAAGAAGTGTGTTGCAGTCAACAAAGCTGAAATGAATTGGGGATCTGAAGAGCATTTCAACATTGGACATGGAGATGCAGAGTTTGGAGTTTGCCCAGCTGGTTTTCAGTGTTGCTTTGGTCCAGTATTTCCTCACTATGCTCCCTTCCTCTCTTTTGGAATGGTAATGTATATCCTGTGCCATGATATGTTGGAAGTATGTGATCTGCTTCCTTATGTTGATTTTACAGGGGATTACAGTTAAGAGACTGCATGAATCTCAGAAGACTTTGAACTTTGGACTTTTAAACAATGTTGAGACTGTAATAGACTATGAGGACTTATTAAGTAAGAATGCAATTCTGCGTTATTATATGACTACAAGCCTATGAGGGCCATGGAGTAGAATGTGGTAGTTTGAATGAAAATGGCCCCCTATAGGGCTCATAGGTAGTAGCACTATTAGAAGGTATATTCTTGTTGGAGTAGGTATGGCCTTATTGGACAAAGTGTGTTATAGGGGGTGGGCTTTGAGGTTTCAAATGCCCAAGCCAGGCCCAGGGTCACTCTCTGTCTGCTGATTCAGATGCAGAACTTTCAGCTATCTTTCCAACACTATGTCTGCCTGTAGTGGGTAGCTGTTCTAGCTATGACCCTGAAGCACCACCCCTAGTGAGGTAGCAGGTAACTATTACACCTGCCTACGACCTTGAAGTACATGCCCTTGGGGCATGGCCGCTCAGGACCCTTAAGACCTGAGATGCATGTATGTGCCTCTTTCTTGGCTCCCCCATGGTTTTGGATGCTGGAGACAGACCAGGCAAAAGAACAGCGTGGGACTGTGCCTCAGCCTTCCAGGACCCTGCAGTAATTCCTCTGCTCTGTACGGTGAGTTTTCCTTCTCTAATAAATTCCTTTGCCCTTTAAGAAGACTCCATGGACTGCTAGCAATATTTGGCCCATTATCTGGTACCCAACATGGGGCACGAACCCACGACCCTGAGATTAAGAGTCTCATGCTCTACCGGAAGTGCTGTGGGATGTCTTTCTGTACACTGTGAATATGTGTTGCTCTGATTGGTTGATAAATAAAGCTGTTTGGCCAATGGTGAGGCAGAATAAGGTTAGGTGTTACATTTGAACTGAAGAGAAAAGAAGAAAGAGAGTGGGGGAGAGGCTGTGAGCCGCCGCCAGGAGAAGCAAGGTCTGAAAGTACTTGTAAGCCACGAAGCCACACGGCAAGACATAGATTAATAGAAATGGGATGAGTTAAGTTCTAAGAGTTAGCTAGCAAGAAGCTTGAGCCACAGGCCATACAGTTTGTAATTAATATAAGCCTCTGAGTAATTATTTTATAAGCGGCTGTGGGACTGTGGGTGGGAGAGATTTGTCTGGACCTTGGGGCCAGGCAGAACCAGAGAAACATCTGGCTACATCTGCCTGCCTGCTTCCAAGCTCCCCTCATGATGATAATGGACTAAAGCTCTGAACTGTAAGTCAGCCCCAATGAAATGTTTTCCTTTATTGGAATTGCTGTGGTCACAGTGTCTCTTCACATCAATAAAACCCTAACTATAACAGTAAGGCAATGGTTAGACTACATTTCCCAGTTTCCCCCTGAAGGTGGGTATGATGACTGCATGGTCAAGTTCTAGCCAGAAAGAGTTGTACACGGCTTCCACACCTGCCACGAAAACCTCCTACGTATCTTCCCCTTCTCTTTCTCCCTCTTTAGATGGTGGAGATGACTCAGCAGAGGACGGCTGAACCATAAGAGGGGATGTGCTTCAGGTTTGTTAATCAGTATGAGTTACATAATACGACTGAACAAAAACTTAACTTCTAGTATGTTGTATGTGGTGGCTTTATTTGAGTATTTGTAATTTTATTATTTTATATGTGACATATGTGACGGTGCTTTGCCTACATGTGTGTTTGTACAGAACACATGTGTCTGAGGCTCAAGGAGGCCAGAAGAGGGTGTGATATGCCCTGGAACTGGAGTTGCAGACAGTTGTGTGATGTCATGTGGGTGCTGGGCATTGAACCCAGGTCCCTTGAAAAAGCAACTAACTCCTAACTGCTGGGCCACCTCACCAGCCCTGGATTTATTTATTTATTTATTTATTTATTTATTTGATTAACAGAAAACTTGAGGCCAAACAAGGAAACTCCTGGTTCCTTCTATTACTAACACCTGATTTATATGCTGCATTTGCTATAATTAATGAATTGATATGGATATATTCTAAACTAAGTAACCAATTCTGGAATTGATAATATATTATTAGTTTCATTAATTGTAAAAAATATCCACAGTTTATTTTAATTTCCTTAGTGTATTAATTACTTCTCCCTGACAAGAAAAGACCTGAGGGAGGCAGGGTTTGCTTTGGCTAGCAGTTTGAGGCAGCCCGTCATGGCGAGAAAGGCAGGATGGCTGGAGCATGGGGCAGCTGCTCACATTGCATCTACAGTCAGGAAGCAGAGTGGAGACAGAGAGTGGATTTGGCTAAGACACTTCAAGGCCCACCAAAGTGACCCTCTTCTCCCAGCTAAGTCTCACCTCTTCTTCCAGCTAGGCCCCACTTTAGGGTCCACCCCAAAGTATTCAAACACTTGAGCTTATGGAGGCCATTTTCCATTCAAACTACAATGTGTGTGTGTGTGTGTGTGTGTGTGTGTGTGTGTGTGTGTGTGTGTGTACACATGAAGGCTAGATAGTCATGTCGTGTGTCTCCATCAACCACTCTCCACTTTTTTTTTTTTTGAGGCAGGGTCTCTCCCTGGAATCTGAGACTCACTGATTCAGCTAGACTGGCTGGCCAGCAAGCCCCAGGAATCTGCCAGTCTCCACCTCCTCTCGAAGGAGCATCCAGCTTTTTAATGTAGATTCTGGGGAGCCAAACTCAGGTCCTCTCATGCTTGTACAGCAAGGACTTTACTGACATATTAAGCTAGACAGGAGTTTATAATGATGTGTTCAACTATAATCCATTACCACACAGGTCATTCCAGCTTTCTCCATAGAGTCCCAGTTCAACTCGGCCCCAACTCCCTGATGTCCATTTGGTGCCATCCATCATGGCACCCACTGGCGTCAGAACTGCTAACTCTGTACACTGATTTTTCCAAAGAACAACATCTCCTGTCTCACACAGTCTTCTAGAATGGCAACACTCCCTTATCAAAAGATAGAATCCAGATCCTCCCTTTCTCTTTTCAAGTTGACACTGGTACTGTACATCATCCCACTGAAACTGTTCATCATGCCGGGCGGTGGTGGCACACACCTTTAATCCCAGCACTTGGGAGGCAGAGGTAAGTAGATCTCTGTGA